TATCGCCCAGAAACCAAGGTCGAGAAAAAGGAACGTTTGCGTAATATCGCTGCTATCAAAGCTGAGGGTAAAGAATATAAGCCCAAGAAACCATATGTCATTAAATATGGCATTAATCACATTACTGCTCTCATCGAGGCCAAGAAAGCACAATTGGTGTTGATCGCCCATGATGTTGACCCCATTGAAATCGTTATTTGGTTACCTGCGCTCTGCCGTAAAATGCAAGTTCCTTATGCAATAATTAAGAGTAAGTCTCGTTTGGGAACTGTAGTGCATAAAAAAACTGCAACTGCTTTAGCTGTAGTTGATGTTCGCGATGAAGATAAAGGTTCGCTGGCCAATTTGATTAACGGAATTAAAATCAATTATAATGATAAGTATGAAGATGCCAAAAGGCATTGGGGTGGTGGTATTATGGGAGCCAAGTCTCAAGCTATGATGGCTAAAAGGGAGAAAAATGCTGGCGGAACTTTAAGACGTTGGTTGAGGATCTTGCGCTGTCTTTGTAAACGAACATATTCGGGCCACTTTACAAAGCGAGTTAAATCACGTTTTGGCTGGATATCTTGACCTAATCGCATAAACATAATTTATAAATTCGACAAGAAATTAATATGTCCCTTTCAAAATACTAAAAATATCTCACATACCAATCCCAAAATTGCGAGGCTTCTTTTCGAATAAAGGATTTTTAGTAGCCTTTCCCCCGTCTTTTTTCTTTACAGGGTAAGGTGGGGGAGCGACCTTTTTCGATTTAACCTTCGGCTGTATATATTATTGGGTCATTGAGCAAAACATAATTAAAAACTTGTTTTTGTTTCATGTTGCTCTAATACAGCTCACCAATCTTCGAGACAAGTGACCATTTTAATTTAATTGGACATGTCTTTAAATACACTACCATAGTTGCCTCGCTCTTTCTATTAGATGAATAGATGATAAATGAAATTCCAAATAAAAAAAAATTTTTTTTATATCGAAGATGATAAAATTGAACCAATCAAAAGTAGCAAATTTTTTTTTTTTAACAGATCATCGGCTAATTTACCCGTGATAATTATCCAATCAAATGGGATCTTTGCTATAAAAAAGGCTATGTTGATTTTGTGAATAAAAATTAAATTTGCCAAACATCTAGTTATCCAATTTGAATG